AAGAAAAAAACAGAAAAATGAAATTTTAGCTTTCATTTCAATTTCTCTGAGTCAAAAGACATTCGTGCTCCTGCAACATAGCCTGAATCCTGTATCAGAATGGTACATTGAAAGAATAAGTTTCTTGTTTTCTCAGAGCCCAAAAAACAGGGAACACAACCAGGAGGAATATGAAAAACTAGTATATAATCAGAGTAAGACAAATCGAGACTGAAACTGTTCCAAATCTGTAGATTTCAGAGTTGTGTCCTTGAGTCACGTACCTGAGAACAAAATGTCCAAGTTTAAGTCAAAGGGGGAAAAAAAAATCAGTGTTCTAAACATCATATTTTGTCCCTTAAGCCAACCAGGAGTGATCTCTGAGTTCAGAACCAGTAGTAAACCCTGAGCACAGCCATGTGTGGCAAAAAAAAAAAAAACCCAAAATGCAAGAACAAAAAAGCAAAAACACCCACAATCAAAGTGCTACTTGACCAAATTCAGCATAAGGTAATTTCTACAGTGTTCATGGGACGCAGGAATATCCCTGAACAACAACATTTAAGATATAGACAACTATCAGTGTATTTTAAAGTATTTTCAAAAATATGCTATTAAATGCATTTTAACATAAAAATTCAACATATTCATAAAGAGATGTAATTATATACATATAATGTTCAGCAAATATATAGAAAGCTCATAAATTCACAAAACCTTGCAAGTTGAATTCTATATGAAGGAACATGGTTTTGCATATTCTTACACATATGCAAGCACAGATATTTATATATTTAAATACATAGTTTCATATATATGTAAGGAGTACTTACACAGATATGGGCATATATGTACATATATACATGTAAAGTAAGTAAAGTAAAGGCCTTCCTGTTGATCATCGATTTGCTCGAGCGGGCCCAGTAACGTCTCCATTGGAGACTTTGTTGTTACTGTGTTTGGCATATCGAATACGTCACGGGGAGCTTGCCAGGCTCTGCCGTGCGGACGAGATACTCTCGGTAGCTTGCCGGGCTCTCCGAGAGGGGTGGAGGAATCGAACTCGGGTCAGCCATGTTGGCTGCGTGTAAGGCAAACGCCCTACCACTATGGGTGCGTATAAATACATATATATATACTCAAGTATAATTTTTTATTCTATATTTTTTCAGAATTTGACTTACAGATGACCTGAGAACATCTCCTGGGACCCAATACTCTAGGCCTAATTATTTCTGCAGGTTCAGAGGCAATACTTTTTCTGAGGCCAGATTATTTGTATTTCCCAGGTGATTCACTACAAATCTGGGCAAAGGAGAGGGCAAGTTTTTGAAATGTGATAAATAAGGGCATTGTGAACCAATCTCCATCTCACAAGCTGGAAACCGGGCCTGAGGCAAGGGCATTGAAGGACAGAGTGCCTTCAACCTACAGAGAGGAGCTTGCACCAGTGGTCTAGCTAGACAGTGGGATCAAGAAGATGGGGAATCTGTTCAGGTAAGCTAAACCTAGGCTGAAGTTCATTTCCAGCAAATATTTTATTCCTCCTTTTCTCGTGTCCAAAATACCTTGCCTGGAGAAGATTTTGATCCAGGAAAACTCAGGGTGGACACCTGGAATCTGTTTTATAGATCTCTCTTTGTTAATGCAGGAAGCTGGGGCAGTGAACACACAATTTTGTGACCCAAATTAGTATTTTCTTCAATTATATATTTAATTAAGTTTTAAAACCATTCTGTTTCACTCTTTGTTTGTTTAAGGACCATACTTGGTGATGTTCAGGGTTTACTCTTAGCTCTGAGCTCATGGGTGATTCTGGCTGCACTCAGGAGACCGTATCTGGTAACGGGTCAGAAATCAGAAATTTCTAAACCTTAATAATTTACATATTATTTTATGGCTGTAGATAGAAATATATAAATGGAATTTGGTTATAGAAAATGTCTAACTGGTAGCATTGGCATTATTATTTCATCAACAATTGCAATGTTTATTGAACATAAAAATACATGCCAACTGTTCAGTATACATTAAGAATTTAAACCTCAAAACAACTCTAAAGAAATATACATGATAATTATTAATTATTTACAGATAATAAGCTGGATAACCAGAGGAAGTGTCACTGATTCAAGAGTCCAGATGAGTAAATGTTACTCCAACATCAGCTGTCCTACTTCTAATGCAGAATTCTCTGAAATTCCAAATATAAATCATGGCATCCAGGATGAGTAAATAAGATATACAACTACAAAAAAAATAGTATACTCTATGTAATCCAAAGAAAAGGCTGAGAATATATCAGGGACTTAAGCACTTAAAACATAGAAAATAAATTACTTATATTATTAATATGCTGAACAAAGATATGAAGTAGTTCTTTAAAATGGTCAATATTAATTAGAAAAATTATCAGGCTCAGGGGATGAGCAGCATAAGTAAATACAGGTAGTTCTTAGACTAGGGTCCTGTGTCATCAACAAAGTTTACCCTTCAGTAAAAATTCATGGATCTACACTAAAGACCTAACATCTGCCATTAGTGGTCAGTATCACTTTCTTATAATGGCTGATTATTAGATTACATTTATCTCCATTTTATAGATTTAAATGTGATCTGCATAGAAGAATTTATAGATAGTAAATACTAAGGGTTTAAAAACAAGTTTATACAATCAGCTAAATCCTATATCTCAAATCTCTTCAAATTCCCATCTCTAATGTATTTCCTCTATGTGATACCTATATATCTCTGTCTCTAATTCTATCATCTATATCTTTTTACACTGCGGGGATCAAATCCAATGCCTTAAACTTTTAATATCTTTGTTCTACCACTGAACTGCAACTTCACAGGTCCTTTTTATGTTTCATTTTTGTTTGTTACAATGGGATGTGTTCTGCTGTGCTATCTTTATGTGATGAGACATAATTTTTCCCTCTCTCAATTTGTTTTCTTCTTTCACACATTAAAAAATTTTACTAAGGTACTAGGATTTATAATGCTGTTGATTATACTTCTAATGGATATATCATTCCAACTCCACACCCATAACCAGACTGCCCTCTTTCCACCTCCTGTCTGAGACACTCCTCTTTCAAATGATCTCAGATTTTGATGCAAAATCTCCGGTTCTGATGACTTTGGCCAATTTTTCTTCTCCTACTGTTTTTTATATCTCACAGATTAAAGAGAACTTTTATGTTTATTTATTGTGGAGCTGGTAAACACCTACTCACATATAGATAATTAAAGGCAAAATTCCTCTAAAACTCCATAAAATTGTAGATGAATGAAACTTTGATGACATCTTTCCAGAAACTGTATATCTTTCTTCCTTTTTTAAATATATAATATTTTAATTAAAATTAGATAATAATATAGATGCTTCTATGCAGATACACTTTAATACTTACATAAAATAGATTAATATTATAAATATCAATTTAGTGAGAGTAGGAAGAGGAAAATTAGGAAAATCTGAATCGAATGCATGTTGTGATTGACCTTCTATTGGTAGGTGAAAAATCTGCCCAGAGATACATCTTGATATGCAGAGTTTCTCATTATATATATATGTATATATATGTATATATATATATATATATATATATATATTTAGGCATTGTTTGCCTTAGATCTGTCTGCAAAGAACATCAGTAAGATTAAGGAATACATCACATATAAAAATTGTCTTTATTTCTGCAGTTTCAAAAAAGTAGGTTGAACTCTCCATACTCTAGAAGTCTTACCCTTTGTGTCAATACACACAGTAGATATTGATTAATCACACTACAATATATAGATTGACAATAGAGGAATTTTCTGACCCATTTCCATTAACAAAAATTTCAGCAAACAAAGTACTTTCTTTCCATTAGATATTATAATATTCAATTTTGGGCTGGGGTGGGGGAGTACTGCCAACTGTGTGGAAACACTACAACGCATGTAGACTATGGAATATCTACAACACATGTAGAGTATGGAATATTGAGTTCATTTAGAAATTTTATCAAGTTTTAAAGCTAGATAATTATGTGTCTCTCACCAAAATCAATCTGCATGTTCCTTGCAGTGGCAATAATGGGAACTTAGAATTTTTATCTGTTGAGAAAATCTATACCACTGTTGAAGCAATAGTTCCTAAATACTGTCTCCATCAGTCCTTAAAAATCCAACATACTCCAATATTTTTTATAAAGTCTGATATACAATATTATCATATTTTCAAGCTTTCTTTATGTCAATTTCTTTTTAGTTATGCCTTCTTTAAACTGCATAATATTGTTTCTTGATAGAGATATGAGAAAAAACTTATTTCCACCAAATTTATACTGTGAAGCAAGTACAAAAATTAGTTGGAATTATGAATGATAGACTCCTTATTCTGAATATATAATCATTTATCTTCACAAATCATGTATCAGACCCCTTATTCTGAGGAAATAATAATTTTCAAGACACAAATTCACTTTGTGTACGTGTTTTTTATTAGTGAATCACCGTGAGGTACAGTTACAGACTTACAAACTTTCATGCTTGCATTTCAGTAATACGATGATTGAGTACCCATCCCTTCACCAGTGCCCATTCTCCACCACCAATGGTCCCAGTATCCCTCCCACCACCCCCAGCCCATACCTCCTACCCCACCCCGCCTCTGTGACAGGTCATTCCCTTTTGCTCTCTCTCTTCTTTGGGGTGTTTATTATTTGCAATAGAGGTATTAAGTGGCCATCATGTTCGGTCTAAAGGTCAAGACACAAATTCACTCTTAATTATATATATATATATATGTACATATATATATATATATAGTTGTTGTTGTTGTTGTTGTTTTCAGGTCTTAGTTAGAAGGATGCTCACCAGTTAGCAGAGACTCGAAGGCAGACACCAGTTGGCCAACCAAGGAATCTGAAGGATACTCTCAATCTATTAACAACCTTTATGTTTTTTACCCTGAGTTTCGTCTCTGGCATCTATCTTGGTCAACATCTCCATACTCCAGACATAGGAAAATGTTCAACAGCAGTCAATTCACCCCCAAATATTTCCTTCTGACTGGTTTCCCTGGTCTTGAGTCGCTATACCCTTGGTTTATCTTCCCATTCTGTTCCACGTACCTTGTGGCCCTTATGGGTAATAGCCTGATCCTGGTGGTGATCAAGAAATATGCCTCTCTGCACCAGCCAATGTATTTGTTCTTAGCTATGTTGGCCTTTGCAGAGCTTGGTGTATCTGCCTCCACACTGCCTACTGTCCTAGGCATCTTTCTTTTTGGTGCCAACAAGATCTGCTTTGAAGCCTGTCTGTTACAGATGTTCTCCATACATTCATTTTCCATCATGGAGTCAGGAGTTCTGCTGGCCATGTCTGTGGACCGCTTTGTGGCTATCTACAACCCCCTGAGGTACACTGCCATCCTCACCCTGCCTCGTATCGCTGGCACTGGTGCTGCACTTGGACTGAAGAGTGTGATGCTTATGTTTCCCTTGCCTTTTCTGCTGAAACGTTTGCCCTTCTGTGGACACAACAAACTTTCCCATTCTTACTGTCTTCACTCTGATCTAATCCAACTGCCTTGTGGGAACACGCGTCCTAATAGCATTCTGGGGCTCTGCATTGTTACTTCCACTTTTGGACTAGACTCACTTCTCATTGTCATCTCTTATGTGCTGATCCTCTATACAGTCCTGGGCATTACCTCTGGGGAGGGGCGGCGGAAGGCCCTCAATACATGTGTGTCCCATATCTGTGCAGTCCTTGTGTACTATGTGCCTATGATCAGTGTAGCTCTGGTGCACCGCTTCATGAAGCATGCTGCCCCTGCCATCCGCTTACTCCTAGCCAACGTCTATCTCCTGGTACCTCCTGTGCTCAATCCCATCATCTACAGTGTTAAAACCAAACCCATTCGACAGGGGCTAATCCAACTTTTTATTCAAAGAAAATAGTAAAAATGGAGGGGGGGACAATGAGATGGTTAGCCTTAAACAAGTGAGGTTCCTTACTCAATATTGTCCATGATAGGTGGTCTTGCTTCTGACACTGTTAAAGTTAGAAAACTTGGCAAAATACCATGCTGATAAACATGTAGATGATGCATATTTTTATACATTGCATGTTGTAATATAAACTTGCACAGTCTGGCATTTTGTCAGCTATTTTGTTATGTATGCAAATTTTAAAATGCACAAGATCTTTAATGCAAAAATTTCTTTTTTAACTTTTTTTACAAATTATTAAAAAAATTATACTCTTACAATTGCTCCTGGTTACAAAAGCTTGAATAAAAATGTTCAATTTACCCATGGAAAAATGCTCATCATCACTTATTATTAAGGAAATCGAAATGAAGATAAGAACGAAATATCATCCTACACCAGTGAGAATGACACATACCAATAATAATGAGAAGTGTCTCTGTTGGTGGGGATGTGGTAAAAAAGGGACTATCATTTATTGCTGGTAGGTACTTCGTCTAGTTCAACCCCTGTTGAAAACAGTATGGAGAGCTCTCACTAAACTAAGAATTGAGCTGCCATATGATCCAACAATTCTACTTTTGCATATCTATTATCAGGACACAAAATATCCATTCCAAAGGACATGTGCATAACATTATTCATTGTGGCACTTGGTACAATAGCTAATATATGGAATCATCTAAGTATCCAATGGTGTCCAATGACAGATGAAAGCATTTTCAAGAGTAGGTATATATACACAATGGGGCACTATATCATTGCAAGGAACAATGAAATTATGCAATTTTCCCTATCCTGGATGGAATTAGAAGTAGTTAATTAAGCCAGAAGAAGAAGGAGAAGCACTGGATGATCTCACATATTGGTAATATATAAAAAAAATCTGGAGGAGGTAATGTAATGTAGTAAAGAAAGGATGTCTAGATCACCCTTGATTCCAGACTACAGGCGAGAAAAGGATAGAAAAGGAAAGGAATCAAGGGAAGAATGAGTAAAATAAAAAGGAAGAGAAGTAATGTGAAAACAGGGATCAAAGATCTGAGGTACATCAGTAACGTGAGGAAGTGGCATAGCTACATATACAAACCAGAGTCAACAACACTGTAAGACAGAGATCCAAACTACAATAATCAAACTGTATAATATGCCAATCAAGATTACAGATTTGGAGGTGGGACAAGATGAAACTCAGAATACTGGTGAAGAGTTTACACTGGTCAAGGGGAGTTTACAATGGTGGAGGGATTGGTTCTAGAGCATTGCATATCTAGACCTCAACTATCAGTAACTTTGTTAATTGTGTTTCTTAATTAAAAAGTTTTTTTAATGTTCAGTTTAGAAATGTTTAAAATAAGATAGTAAATGTACTGGCCATCAGTTGAATATTCAAATAATTTTGGATGGAAGAAGAAACTCAACCTAAAATAGAAAGACACGCTAGGAATAGGAGAAAAACTATTACACATTGCATGTGTGTGCACACAAGACATGTAAAGCTCTCAAAACGCTCAACAACAACAACAACAACAACAACCGTAACCAAATAATCCCATTATACAATTAGTAAATTAACATATATTTCCCTGAAACTCGCACTTATACAGCCAGTAAGACAATGTTAATATTATTACTCATTAAGGGTAACACAAATCAAAACAATGGATTTTCATCTCACATCGAGAGAATAGAACAGAATACAGATATATATGTCTGTGTGTGTGTTTGTCTGTGCGTGTGCGCGCACACACACGTGCACGACAATGCATTACATATATATATGCTAGAGATTTTCTCCACGTTCCAGGGGTCTCTGTAGCTATTGGATGTCTACAAAGTGGCATGTGAACGGGAACCCTAAAGGGCAAAATGTTAACATGGAGGTTCTACATAAACATGGTGAGTGGGGTAAAAATGGGACAAGAACAGTGCAGATTAGGCCCTTTATCAGTCATTCATCGATGAAGGAACTCTAGAAAATGAGGTCTGACCTAGAGCAAGAGGTAATGTATTTAAAGCACTGAAGCAGGGCAAGAAAATTGGAGACCTTGGATGGGAGTCTCAGTAGCTACTGAATGGCTACAGTGGCATATATACAAAATGGAATACTATGTAACTATAAGAAAAGATGAGATCTTGAAGTTTGCTTTAATTTGAATAAAACTTGAGGCTTAAACTTATGTGAAGCAAAATTATTATAATAAAATATAACAAAATAAGTCAGAGTCAGACTTTTGGATGACCTCAGTCAATTTTGATTTATATAGAGAAAAAGTGAGGCAACAGATAGCATCAAATGATAAAAAACCCTTGACCTTGGATTACAAAATTTAGGTTACTGACAAGGGAGGTTGGTGGTAGGTTGAGCAGATTAACAAATGAACAAAAATCCAAAGCCAAGTGCTGGAAAATTTTGGGCAGTTTTTGGTGGTGAAGTGCATCAAAACCATAAGCACTAAAAATATTCTAAGCATGTGTCCTTAATTATAATAAAGGTAAAAAGGTAAAGGCCCTCCCGTTGATCATCGATTTGCTCAGGGCCCAGTAACGTCTCCACTGGAGACTTTGTTGTTACTGTGTTTGGCATATCGAATACGTCACGGGGAGTTTGCCAGGCTCTGCCATGTGGGCAACATACTCTCGGTAGCTTGCCGGGGCTCTCCCAGAGGGGCGGAGGAATTGAACTCGGGTCGGTCATGTTGGCTGCGTGCAAGGCAAACGCCCTTCCGCTGTGCTATCTGCCCCTCTCGGAGAGCCTGGCAAGCTACTGAGAGTATCTCGCCCGCACAGCAGAGCCTGGCAAGCTATAATTATAATAATTAAATTAAAAATATAACCAAAAATAAATAAATGCATAAAAATATTTAATAGTCAACATGAATTTTCATTTTTTCTCCTGTGAATCATAACATTAATCAATGTACCTGTCATCTACAAAAAATCATAACTATTGCTTCAACAGCTTTAAATATTCTTTAATATTGAAATCCAGAAATGTTCAATTTTAGCTAACTCTCTCCAGTCACCTTACAATCAAAATCACTATTCATACTTTTGTGATCACTGTCTCCGTTCTAGCTCCTTACCCAGTATGGAACTATTTCTAACTATAGCTGAATCTCTGGCATTTTGTCATCTCTCACTGTTAATACCTTTAGATTCCCTGAATAAAATAATTCTGTGCTTACACTTCTTATAAAATAGGAGTTGATGTTTGTTGTAGATTGACATACTTGTCTGGGATATAGTTGTCCTAAAATAGTTGTAATATTAGCTAACCCTTAGAGAAATTTACACATTTATCTTATTTTCATAGTGGAGGAATATTATTATACTCATTTCACAGAGATAATTACCCTGGACCCATTCTTATTTCCCTGGACCTTGAGAAGGAGAGGAAAATTGTAATTACTTATAATTACTTGAAAAATTATTCCTCAGAGAATTCAAGCCCCAATCCATTCCTCCTCTTCCGAGAACCAATCAGCTTAAAAAGTGGGAGCAATATTTTCACCTTGGAACTAGGGAGATGTCAAAATAAAATGGCAGGGTCATGCTGAAGTGAGCTTTCCCAGCCTCACTTGATGCTAAAGGTAGGTTCTGCTTTTGGTGAGTGCTCAAACTCATAATCTCCCTGTCCTATCTCCAAAAACAGCTTTCAAAAACAGTTTGCAGTGGGAATCCTGCTTTACTCCACAGGTAGCCCTCTGTAGTTTTACTCAGTCTGTAGTTCACCTAAACTTTCCATATCTGTGTGAGAGAATGAGAATAACTTGATGACGAGTGAAGAAAGCAAAAATATCAGAGAATGTCATAACTTCTAGAGAGAGTTTTGCCATCATAATACTTTGTGTTTATTATATAATGCATAATGTTTATAGTTCCACTTGTTAAGTGCAAAGTCTTTGTGTTTTTGTATCCCTTCCAGATGTAACCTCAACATCAATGAGGCAATAAAAGAGTTGTCGTTCTATTTTAAGAAATTTGGGGACAATTTGACTTTGAATGATCCTTTATGAGAATGTTTAGAGAGGAGGAAATAAAAGTGGAGATACTAATATACATTTGTTTTTTAAGGTTCACATTTAATACTCAGAACCATATTCTGAAGTACAGATTGATCCCCAAATCTTTAAAAAGAAAGAAGTAGAGCTTTGCAAAGCTTAATTAAAGAGGCAAAGTTATGCTGCAAAGAGCATTTACCTTCTGTTCCAACCACTTTCAGGATTCAAGATGTAGCATTCAGTAAGTCACATTCTTCTCTCTTTTCTGCTTATTTCTATATTATTACAGAAGACTTTCCACTAAATAATCTTTTTCCTTCTACCAAGCTGAAATGCTTTTAAAGTCAGAGTAATGGATGACTTTTAAGAAATTTTTGAAAGATAACTGATTCCTAATTGGCTAGGTAGCTTTTGGAAATCAAAACCAGGGATAATGGAAAGGAAGAAAAAAAAAGGAGATCAAACTTGAGAGCATAGAGAGGCAGAGAAGGTGGCTGATAACAGCAGAGAGGACAACCTAGGTATACATAAAATTTGTCCTTTTCAGTGGCAGCTCATCTGGAGTGGTATAGAAAAGACATGGGGTTATGCACAATTTGTGAGATATTCTGGAATGAAGAGCAATTCCACTCAGAAGCAGAATAATATGTGGTTTAATAAAATACTTTAATAAAATACCGCTGGAGCGATAGCACAGCGGGTTGGGTGTTCGCCTTACAAGAGGCCAACATGGCCGACCCGAGTTCGATTCCTCCGCCCCTCTCGGAGAGCCCGGCAAGATACCGAGAGTATTCGATATGCCAGACACAGTAACAACAAAGTCTCCAATGGAGACGTTACTGGGCCCGCTCGAGCAAATCGACGATCAACGGGAGGGCCATTACCTTTACCTTTTTAATAAAATACTCGAGAAATATATTTTTGGCTTTTAGAAATGGGTAGAGAATGTATGTTCTCATTAAAAAA